AAGTGAAATAAATCGGACACACAGACGTAAATATTATATAACTTCTCTTTTGAGAAACCCAAAATATAAACAACTTAAAGAGCAAAAGATAGCTGGGCATGGTGGTATACAGCTGTAATTCCAGAATTTAGGAGGCTGTGGCAGGAGGATCACTGCAAATTAGAGGTCAGGCTGGGCTGCACAGTGAATTTAAGGCCACCCTGAACTATAGAACGAGACCTTGTCTCAGAAAACCAAACCAACCAAAACCAAAACCAAATAAAAAGCAAAAGAAAAGATAAGACGATAGGAAACCGGAAGATACAGACATTCCTAGCTTAAGTCAGAGGTCCGTTCTTGCGACTCGGGCATTAAATGCATTTGTGGCTAAATGAAGAATCATATGTGTAGTATGTACACTACAATATTCAGAACAAAGACATGGTCAGAGAAAGCTCCGACTTGATGACTTTGCTTTTTATCTGCGTCACTCCTACATGCAGTACCGTAAGGTACAGTACAGTCAGCAAAAATTACAGTGCTGTCTAAACAAGGGGTACTGTACGAGAAAAGGCATGGAGGCTTTAAAACAAGAGGAACAGGAAAAAGATGGGTCGTAAGTCTAACTGGCAGGTTGTAAGTCCGAACGGCGCACCTCTATTGTAAGCCTGGACAGTCTTTAAACAGGTAGGCCGCTAGAGGGGAGTAACTGTAGCTCTTTTGTAATCCGGAAGAGATTCAGTAATGGAAGGAGGGTGGGGAAGGGTCGGGCAAGGGGACTAAAAAGAATTAAGATATGTCATGCACATACACCCATTCTGCACAGTGAACATGGTAGTGATCTGGTACAAACTTGTATTAAAAAATGAAACAAAAACTCTGGCCGTTCTGTCTTCCGTGAGTTCCTGCCACAAAGGCACCTCCTACCTCACCTCGGCTGGTCATTTCAAAATGAATTCTGACACCACGATATTTCTCCCGTCAGCACCGTGATGTTACCTTTACAGGTGGGTACCTCCTTCCCTTCCCCCGACACGGCTGTGAAACAATTGTCATACCTAAAAAATTAACAGCAATTCTTTCAATTTTTTTATCTGTACGTATTCACAATTCACACGGTCTACATCATTTGGGGGAGTGGTTACATCTGTATATTTCAGCTTGTTTGGTTTTTTATACCACCCATCACCCTTTACATTCCTGTGGATATCATCTGTCTTAGCTCATTTTTCTTTCCAGTATGGGGATTGAACTCAGGACCTTGAGCTTGCCAGGCAGGTACGGCACACTGAGCTGAACCTCCGGCTGTCTTAGCTCATGCTATGGCCTATAAGGTTTACACTGATTGGAGTTACTCAGACCCTGTACGTAGCACATCTTTGTTCCTCTTGCTTCCCCTTCCCCTCCTCCTTTCCTTGGACCACTTCTCTGTTGGACTAGATCTATCCTCCAGTCCCGTTCTACTGATCCTTTATCATTCTCTTTGTTTGTACTTTGCCTCGCTCAAATGAGAGACACCATATGGTATTTAAGTTTGTGTGTTTGATTTATTTCACTCAGTATTATATTTTCCGGCGCATCCATTTTCCTACAAATACCTCAAATTTGTCATTCTTTACAGCAGAGTAGTATTCCATTATGTATTTACCACACTTTGTTTATCCAGTCATCCGTTGATGGGTATACAGGCCACTTCCAGGATTTACCACAATGCAAATTGTGCTGCTATAAACATCAGTATACAGGTATCACTGTAGTGTGATGATTTAAACTCTCTGGGGAAGATTACCCAGCAGAGGAATAGCTGGGTCATATGGAATTTCTCATTTCAATTCTTTCAGAAATCTCCATACTAATTTCCATAAGTTGTACTAGTTGCATTCCCAATAATTCTTTAATATCATTTGAAAGACAATAATTATACAAGTGTTCATGATTACCTCATCAAGTTTTTATTGTTGATTTATTCCCATAAGGATCCAAACAAGGTCCATAAGTTGCATTTGGTTGCAGGGCCTTTAAAGCTGTGAGGTTTGCTCTCTTTTGTTCTTGCTGTTTATTTGTTGAAGAGCCTGACCTTTGGTCCAATCGAGTTTTCCACATTTTGGATATCTGACTGCATTTCTGAGGTGCTGTTGAAGATGTCCCCCTGTTGGTCTCTTTATTTCCTATAAATCAATATTTATATTTAGGGGCTGGATCAAATTCAAGATCAATTTTCTTTTTTGTTGTTCTTTCTTCCTTTCTCGTTCTTTCTTTCTTTGCCAATCGGCTTCACTGGTGAATTTTTATTGCTCTCGAGAAGCACAGAACGTCTTGCGTGCATCTCTTTTTGTCACTACCCAGGTTTAGCTGCTGTCACCCCGATCCAGCCAGTGAGTCCCCCACAAATGTGTCACCGTATGCTGGCTGAAAACATAGTTTTATTAGGAGCTGCAAATGGCGATTTTTAAAAAGGAGTCTCTCCCACACAGTGGAGTTTCTCTAGTAAAGATAATTTCCCACGATTGACTAATTGAAATGCAGTTTGTAAGGCAAAAAGCACAGTGGTTTTGATTTTTAAATTTAACTTTTGAAATAAACGCTTTTAAGAACATACGTTGTGACAGTTGTGTGTCACACAGATGGGTCTGGACACTGCCCTTCCCTTGTGAAGTTTAAGCCCTTATTTTAGTCACGTGCTACCCAAGCACACTCAGTAACTTCCTTCGTGGCTTATTAATTTCTGGTGAAATTTACAGTGTTTGCATTAGCAGTTATACTGCTATTTCTGTCACAGTGAGCCTATCTGCTTTTCATGTGGGTAGAAGTGAAATGTTTGAACTTCATTTAATGAATCTATTACAGATTGATAAAACAGGGTTTAAACATCATAGGATTATATAAGGAAAATGATGTTTTAGGTTAACTCTTCAGACGCTAACAGTGCGCCGAGAATTCATTATCCTGAGTGTAATTCTTCCCTAACTAGACATGTTAGTTAACTAACACATATACATTTTAACATGTTTTGATATTTAATATTTTAAAATTATATGTTTGAAATGTTTAACAGTAAGAAAACACACAAATCAGATTTGCAAAACTTGTTATTTCTGCTTTTTCCGTTTTCAGTTTCGTCGCTCAACAACATACAATGGTTGCCATTGAAACTGGACTAAGCCGGAGACAAATCTGAGTTAATGCTGCAAGAATCAGACGCAACCAGACCATTTCAAAAATTTCCGTATCAGCCCGGGGATTTAGTTCAGTGCTTCTGCCGCCTGCCTTGCAAGCTCAAGGACCTAAGTTCGATCCTCGGTACCAAAAAACAAAAACAAAATTCTCCAAATGCAGGAATTGGGAATTAAGATGCTATGTGACAGAATTATTTTCAAACAGTTGTACCCTAATTCCAAAGAAAGGGTGCGCGTCAGCTCCATTCATCGGGGTTTCTGGGCCCCAGGGCAACGAGGCAGCAGCCAGGTGGAGTGCGCAGGCAGCGAGCCAGAGACAGGGACAGAGGCAGGGACAGGAGCGGTCACTGTGGGCCCCAAAGAAGGGAAGAGGCCCGGTGGAGTCGGGGAACGGAGACGCGGGGTCCCCGGAAGCCCGCGAGGCGAGCGCGCCCCGCTCCGCGGTGTGGG